CAGCCACTCCTCGGAAGGAAGGTTGGGCAATCCTACTTCCGTAGTGATACTGCCTCGGAAACCCAAGGAGGGGTCGCTATGAGTCGTGGCCGACTGGACGGCACATAACAACAACAACAACATTAGGCTGCAAGGAGTAAGGGATTCCTCCCGGGAGCACTCAGAAAGCTGTGCAATGAGAGGAGGTTTAAAGAGAAAGCAGAGCGTGTAGGCAGCAAAAGTCTCTTCCTACCGAGGGCACAGAGTGAAGGGGATCGTAAGGACGCTGGGACATGCTTTTAAATGCGCTCAATCCCAATATTCGTGAGACACAAAGGCTCAATGGACAGACGGCAACCATGCAGGGGCCAGGAAAGATTCCGAACAGAAAATACAAAGGTTGCTCGCGAACTCGCCAATGACACAACCTACTCAAGTTTAAAATCTGCGCTGGAACTGTTGTCAATAATCTTTTCAACAGATAATCAAGTGTCAATTCTTCGCTTCGTTCCTTCTCCAAAACGGATCCGGGGATTGGGTGGAGAGTGGGGCGGGGAGGCAGAGGGGACCTTCAGCGACGCACTCTCTTTCCAAGGTGCCCACTCTTGCCAATCCAACCCCAGCGGTGAGTGGCGGAAAGGAGGAGGGGTCAGGGCAGCCCCTGGGTCGAACACCACAACCTGGGGCAGGGAGCAAGGAGGAAGGGGTTGAAAATTGAGGGGTGGAGAGTAGATAAGACAGGCTTCAGGGCATATGGGATTTCCTAAATCCTGGGGTTTCCTAAACTGGACTGCCCAGAGATTTCCTTGGACGTGACTCGCTCGGAAGCAGACCCAGAGGGGCTAGGTGGGCCCCAGTCCAGCCTGGACGCCTTGCCGTCCTTACAGGGACTGGGGAACTCAGCCTGCGTCTGATCGGATCCCTCTTTCCTCCTCATCCCTGCGAGTGTAATCTAATGCTAAAGGATGCCTGCTGGAGCCTGAGGCCGAGGCAGTGAAATTCTTCTGGTCAACTGATGGTTGACCAGAAAATGGGGGTGGGGTATTAATTAACATGAACTGAGGTCCTACTGTGTGTCTGTCTCAGTTCATTAAATTCTCAAGGTGACCCTGCCAGTATCCCCAAATTCCAGATAAGGAAACTACTGAGGCTGGGAAAGATTGAATTCAATGCTACCTAGTTGCTCTACAACAAATTGAGACTACTCACTGTGGTGGAGTCGGACCCGACTCATAGCGACCCTTCCTTGGGTTTCCCAGGCAATATCTCTACGGAAGTAGATTGCCCAACCTTCCTTCCGAAGAGCGGCTAGTAAGTTTGAACCGCCAGCCTTCTGGTTAGCAGTCAAGTGCCTTAGGCACTAAATGTGCCCAAAGGCACATTTTCACTTTCTGTGAAAGCCGTCTAGTGCTCCCTCCCCGGTCCACTCAGGATAAAAGTTTAGAAGCCGGCAAGGACTGCGCGGCCGGCAGGGTCCTTACCCGGCAGGATGAGGATGTCCACCAGGGGCTTGCAGTGGTACAGCCCAGTGGCCATGACGCAGTCAGCCCACAGCCCCTTGGAGCCTAGTTCGTCCAGCTTGCGGCAGGTGGGGATGGTGTAGCCGCAGGTCACCACCCAGTCATTAGTGGATGTAGTGACGATGATGCCGATCCAGCCCACGAAGCTCGTGACGAAGCCCACCACCTGCAGGCACGTGGCAACCATAGTGGCCGCCACGGTGCCTCGTTCCTCACTGACTGTGCCTGGGCCGCCGGCTGGACGGCGCCTGTCCGGTCCTCCTCCCGCCCTCAAGAGCCGCTCGCGGGCGACGGCCCAAGGCGCGGACGTTCAAGGCACCGTGGAGCCGGGGGACTGCGAGTCCAGTTCCGACGGCGCGACCTGCGCTCACAGGGACAGCAGAGCGGCTGGGCAGCGAGCCCCCGCCCCCCCTCTTTAAACTCGGTAGCCCCGGCCACCGAACGCCAATCAGCGGCAGCCCCGGGTCAAGCCGGCCAATCGCGGGACTTAGACCCCGGGTGGGGTGTAAGGGGAGAGCGGCACCCGAGGAAGCAATCAGACAGCGGGGCTGGTCTTGACGGAGCGCAGTTACTGCGGAAAAGCAAAATAATTCGATCTAGACCCAAGAAGTGGACGGCTCACAAAGCAATGAGTTCTATTTTGCTGTAAATTATTTCTTTTCTTGCTGATCCTCTCTAATCTCTGTCTCGATTTCTCGCCACGCTCTTTTTCCCAACTGATTGCATGGACCTTGGTTTCTCCAAATGCACCGGGTACAGCTCGGCCCACCCTCGTCAAAAGATGCTAGAACGATGCTTCTGAACCGGAATGCTGACCAGGCTGATAGGATTGTCTAGAAGGCAGGCCCAGGAATGTAACTCAGGGGCTGAAAACTGCCCTGAGGGAACAGACTCCAAGCATTCCGTTCCATTTCCTGGTAGATTTTAAAAGAAAGAAAGAAAGAAACAGAATAAAGATACTTTGCCCTGGTCAACAATTATCAGAGGCAGCCAGGGCCACAATAATCGTGAAAACAATAGCAACTTATATTTACCTCCTGAGTGGGGCAAACAGTTAACAAGTTGGCTGCTATCCAAAACGTTGATAGTTCTAGTCCACCCAGTGGTGCATGGGAAGAAAGCCCAGCTATCTACTTCTGAAAAATCAGCCATTGGAAACCTATGGTGCACAGTTCTACTCTGATAGACATAGGGTCGCTGTGACTCAGAGTCACATCCATGGCAACTGGCTTATTGTGTACATACACTAAAGTGTATTATTTAATTTTCATAATTGCTATCTACAAATAATACACAGGAAGAAACAACACGAAAAAAGTTAAGTTGACCAAATTCACATACCTGGGAAAGGGTATACTTCCCTGGCTTATCTCATCTCCCTCACTAACCAATCCTTGGAAAATGTCCTGATGATCATTTTCTGAAAATTCCTAGAGGGTTCAAGGGTCGTAGTTATAACAGGTTAAAGGCCAGGCTGATACTTAGACTCACTGTAAGTAAATTAATATCTGTACCCCACTGAGAACAGGGCCCAGGCCAGAATGAGTGTCCTACAGGTGTAAACTATCACCATCATCATTGACATCATTAAGCTACCTTCTCTCACATGTATTTAAATAAACCACATTTTTCTTAGCTGCCATCAAGTCAACTCTGTTTCACGGTGACCTTATGTACAACAGAAATAAAAAGTTTCCCAGTCCAAAGTTTCCCAGTCCACCAAGTAACAAAGATTACAAAACCTGGCTGCCATTGAGTCAATTCCAACTCACTGCAACCCTGTAAGACAGAGTAGGGTTTTCAAAGCCTTTATAGAAGCAGACTGTCTCATTTTTCTCCCATGGAGCAACTTGGTAGGTTCAAAATGTTGACCTTTCAGTTAGCAGCTGAGCACTTAACCATTGAGCCATTAGGGCATTCTGTAAAGATTACAGCCTTATAAACCCCATAGGGCAGTTCTACTCTGTCCTATAGGGTCACTCTGAGTTGGAATTGACTCAATGGCAATGAGGTTTTTTGGGGATCCATTCATTTGTTGTCTACTCAACAACCATGAGATTTAAGAGTGAAGGATTTCAGCAAACACATGAACATTCTACTCAACATTTTAAAATCTAAGGTATGGACCATAAGTCATAGGTACTGAGCTTTCCCATGAAACATCCCTATGGTGGGTGTTAGGGCACATCATCATATCTAAGAAAGACTGGCCTTGAGGACATAATTACATTTCAATGGAGACCCCAAAGAAATCAAGTGCACAAACAGAACCAAAAAAAAAAAACTCACTGCCATTGAGTAGATTCCAACTCATAGCAACCCAATAGGACAGAGTAGAACTGCCCTATGGCTGTAAGTCTTTATTTTTTTCCCCACAGAGCAGCTAGTGGGTTCATACTGCCGAACTTTTGATTAGCAGCCACTGCTCCACCAGACCTTCTTGATAGAAAAGGCTCTGTAACAGATGACAGAATGACAAGTACAAAGTCCACAAGGATTACCTAGGAGAGCACAATAGTTAAGATCCCAGACCAGGGTGCCTAAGTTCAAATCATGGCTCTGCCACTTACTGATTTGGGGACTATGGACCAGTTACTTCATCTTTCCAGATCTCAATTTTCTCATTTTAAAAATAGGAATGAGAATAATACCTACTGCATAGTTTCCTCATAATTAAGGTTTATATACATACAGAGGGGAGCTCTGGTAGCATAGTGGCTAAGACACTTGCCTGCTAACCAGACGGCTGGTGGTTCAAATCCACCAGCCACTCCTCGGAAGGAAGGTTGGGCAATCCTACTTCCATAGTGATACTGCCTCGGAAACCCAAGGAGGGGTCGCTATGAGTCGGGTTTGACTTGACGGCACACAACAACAACAACAACATACATACAGAGCTGGACAATGAATAAGGAAGACCAAAGAAGAGTTGATGCTTTTGAGTTGTGGTGTTGGCAAAGAATACTGAAAGTACCATGGACTGTTAAAAGAACTAACAGATCTGTCCTGGGAGAAGTGCAGCTGGGATGCTCCTTGAAAGCAAGAATGGCCAGACTTCATCTCACCTATTTTGGTCATGTTGTCAGAAGGGACCATTCTCTGGAGAAGGATGTCATGCTTGGTGAAGTGGAGGGTCGATGAAAAAGGGGAATGCCTTCAACAAGATGGAATGACACAGTGGCTGCAACGATGGGCTAAGCAAGGTATAACGGGGATCGTGAGGCTGGCACAGGACTGGGCAGTGTTTCGTTCTGTTGTACATAGGGTCGCTATGAGTCAGAGACAACTCGATGGCACCTAACAGTAACAACATACACATACAGAGCTTAAAGTGATGTCTGGTATGAAGTTAATCCACTACCACAGCGGTCGAGTCAATTCCAATTCATAGCAACCCCCATTGGGTTTCCAAGGCTATAAATCTTTATGGAAGTAGATTGTCTCATCTTCCTCCCACAGAGCAGCTGGGAGGTTTGAACCGCTGAACTTCTGGCAGCCAAATGCCTCACCCACTACACCACCAGAGCTCCTTGGTGCAAAGTTGTTGTTGTTATTGTTGTTAGGTGCTGTCCAGTTAGACCTGACTCACAGCGACCCCTCCTTGGGTTTCCGAGGCGGTATCACTATGGAAGTAGATTGCCCAACCTTCCTTCCCAGGAGTGGCTGGTGGGTTTGAACCGCCAAACTTCTGGTTAGCAGTCAAGCACCTTAGGCCCTACATTACCTACCTATTAGATAGAGACTAAAACTAAAACACTTAGCTTAACCCTCCTTGTGATTAGACTCTACTTTTATGTAGCATAATTTAATAAACTGACATTCTGGGGCTATCTCAGTCCTGAGAACACTTTTGTGATAGTCTATCAGGGCCCAATCACCCCAAATAAGTGTCAATGGTGGGACCCTAAACCTTCCAGATAAAGGCCTTTTCGGTTGATTTTCTCCTAGAAAAGTCTGGCATGCCATCTCTTCACATTTCTACTGCATAGAACAGAAGTAGGAAGATGTAGCTGAGACCTGATTCCACATCTTCCAATGCGAAGTCCAGTATTCTTTGCATTAGGAGAATTGTCGCAGTCTTTGCTATGGCTTGGGCATAAGTTCCCTCCTCTTATTCTTATTCAAAGATGTTTGAAGGGGAAGATTAGAGAGCCAGTCAATGCCCAAAAACCCAAATGTGTAATTGAACAAAGGAAATGTCCTGGTTACTGTTCTTCTATCATTTATACCTAAAAATAGTCAAACTAATATGTGATTTAGTTGAAGGGATGCATATCACATTAGCAAATATGTTTGTTTGTTGTTGTTGTTATGTGTGGTCAAGTCGGACGTGACTCATAGCGACCCCTCCTTGGGTTTCCGAGGCACTATCACTACAGAAGTAGATTGCCCCATCTTCCTGGCCAGTATCAAAAACCTCACATTCAGTGCAAAGCTTGGACCAAAGGAGTAGGCTTTCAGCGACCACTAGTGGTTATATTTTATCATTGCAAGCATGGCAAAAAAAAAAATTTTTTTCTTGAAAAGGAGGCTATGACCTGTAAAGAAACATGATTAATCGTGACTTCACTCATTCCAAATGTGTGATCTTAGTCCCAGATGGAGGTTACATTTCTCTGTGAAAACATGCTTCATATATTAGAAAAGAATCATCTAAGAATCCAAATATATGAAAACACAGGACAAATATAAAATTGGTGAGATTCTTCATTTTAAAATACTTCTAATAGGATCCCCTTTTTTCAATTTCACTGGTTTTTCTTTTCAAAAATGTATTATAAAGCATTTCAAATTGAAACAAAGACTACTACAATGAACCCCCATGTGCCCATAACCTAGCTTCAAGAGCTATCAACTAATGGCTAATCTTAAACCCACCAGCCACTCCTCGGAAGGAAGGAGTGATACCACCTCGGAAACCCTAGGAGGGGTCGCTATGAGTCAGATCCGACTCAACGGCAGTGCTTTTGGTTTGATTTTTGGATTTTTTTCTTATATTATTATTATTTAAAAATCCCTTCATTCATATGAAACCTATCTCTTAATCACCCATCTATCATCCCTCCTTTACCCTCCTCTCCAATTCCTGTTATAGGATCCCTTGTTAAAGGATAAATTCCTCTGGTGGATTTTAAATATTTGATAATGCAAAAAATTTCACATAGACACAAATTTTTAGAATTATTATAGTACAAATTCATAGTGTAAACAAGTATCAAACATTGGCATAAAAAAAACAAAATGCCCTGTGAGGTCAAGGGTTTGTCTCTTTTCTTCATCACTGAAACCTCAGACTATGACACAGAGCCTGGCACACATGAAGGAACTCAATAAATACTTGTTGAAGGGAGTTGAATTGAAGGGTTTAAAAAATAGAGACTGAAT